GTTCGACCGAACCTACCCCATGTTCGACCGAACCAAGGGTGGTTCGGTCAAACCTCCAGAGGTTCGTTCGAACTTAGAGTCAGTAGCTTTTGCAAATGAAAATCTACAACAGGTTCGACCAAACCTTTTAGACGTTCGGTCGAACTCCCGCACTGCTCAGACAAGTCTTCGTAAAATGGCCATAACTCCCTCGATTCTTAACCAAATCAAGCTTATGACCAAGCGTTGGAAAGCTCTTGAGACGAGCTATCACCTCCAACTTGAATCATCTCAATATCACTTCTAGATCTTGAGATATTCCCATTTTAAGTCAGCCATTTGACATCCACCATTGCTTTACACCAAGCAATAGCCCATAGCTTAATCTCCTAAGCTATGCACCCCCTTAGCCTTCTTGAAACTGTTCTCCACACTCTCAAACCCAACAATCTCCCACCTGGAGATCGGTTCAAGTGTGAGAACAAACCACTACACATATACTCTCATGGCTTCTCCATTGTGCCCCAACATCTCTCCATAAGCCTCACAATCTCCCAACCCGGAAATTGACTTATCATCACGAGATCACACCAACACAATGAGCCAACCATCGTCATCAACATCTTTTCTAATCACCATAGCAAAGAATCATTTTCTCTACACCGAGAAAACAAACCCACTTCCTATAAACCAAGGAAGTGACATCAAGGTCTTCACCAACCTTGACAAACTCATCACACAACCGAGGGACTTTTCCATGTTCTCTAAGCACTTTCACCATGCTCTAAACCGAACACACCCTCCAAAGCAACACATAAGCCAAAGGAATTCAACAATGCTCACGGAACAACTCACCATGCTCCCACCCGAACAAAACATCCTTTGCTTTCCCACACACAATGCTCATGTGTGCAACACATGTCCTCTACACCAAGGAACACCATCTCCTCTACACCAAGGAGACCAAACATCAAGATCAACACCAATCTTGATAAAACACTTCCTCTCCACCAAGAAAGCACCACTTCCTCTATATCAAGGAAGCAAACCAAAGTTTACACCAACTCCAACACACCACCTTCTACGCACCAAGAAGGCAATGCAAGCATTGAGATCTCAACTAACCTCAATAACACACCCATTTCCTCTACACCAAGGAAATGCCACCTCCTCTCAACCGAGGAAGCAAACATCAAAGACTACACCAACTTTGATAAACATCACGTTATCCAAGGGATTTTCCTAGTTCTCCGAGCACTCCAACCGCACTCTACACGAACTCACCCGCCGTGACAAACACAAGCCTTTGGGCATTTTCCTTTTGTTGATGGAACACTCCTACCATGCTCCCACCTCAACAAGCACCCATACTTGTCTTTCACACATGCTAAAACCATATGTGCATTCACCACTCACAACCACCATGTGAGATTCATGATACACCTTCACTTGGCACGTCTTTCCCGGTCTTCTTCTATCATTGAAACACCCAACACCACGGCTTCTCTCCAATGACAATCCAACCAACAATGTCTGTAGACACCCAGTTGTGTCTCCCCAAAACCAAACCCAGTGATGAGTACCTTTCACGTCGAATCATAATCGAATGAAGTGAAAGTGTGGAAAGTCTAGTGTTGCGGATAATTTTAATTTCTTTTATCTTCTCTCTGTTTTTGAAAACTTATTTTAAGAAAACAGCCAATCCAGTTTGGTTGGTCCATGATATGGGTCCAATAATAGTTTAGTTGGATGGAGCTTGACAAGAGCTTTCCAACGATATATTATAAGCCCAATTCCGATGAATATTGAGGAAGTTATGGCCAATTTACTAAACTGGGCCCCAGTTTGAGCCTTATGTATGGCCCAATGATCTAGGGGAGGGCCTAATATGATTTATCATTCCTAATTCAATTAGGAATGGTTTTAGTCTTCTAGATTCTTCTAGAATATTCTTTTCATCCCTAATTCAATTATCATTGATAAATTGACTTTTGTTGACTTTTCAGAGTTTTAATTAAAATCAAGGAGCATTTTCGAGGAAAAGATACGATTTTATCCTCCAGTACTTATCTGATTTTCGAAAACGCGTCAAAAACAGGCCTGGCGCCTGGTGCTAGCCATTGGCTCCTGGCGCCAATTAGTTGGTGCTGGCGCCAGCTCTATTTTAGGTGCGCCAACCTCGTTTTGCGTGCGCCAAATGCTCTGTTTTGATATTTTATCTTTTTGGCTTATTTTCTCTATAAATAAATGTAGGGAATAATTTCAAGCCTTCAAAATCCCACTAGCTTAAACCCCACTGTGATCATACACTAAAGTACGGTGGCGTCCAAAAGGGAAGAAGATAGAGCAAAAGAGTCGCCAACAAGTTTTTTAGGAACTTGTAAACCGTTCACGAGGTAAAGGTTACACCCCTTAACGATCCAAGAGATCATCAACTCCATAAGGTCTAGAACAAAATAAGGGTTCGGGGATGAAGGTACAAATCCAACCTAAAAGAGATTGAACCTGCCCTAAAAATAGGCCTCTACTTTATTCTGATCGTATTCATGTGCGCTTTCTGATTAACATGCAATCATTAGGATTAACCCTAAACCTGTTTAATCTATGTTGGTTGAATATTAATGCACAAATAAATCTATTATTGGCGATCACTTGAATTATAATCACATTAACCCTAAACAAGATTATTAATTATCTTATTAAGCGTGATTGCAAGTACCAATTCCCTTTAAACATGCAATAAAAGGTGATCAAGCAATAAAGAATAAATAATGTATCAAGCAACATAATCAATAATAATAATAATAATAATATCATCATCAAAATAATAATAATAATAATAATAATCATAATCATCATAAATTATAACAATTATAATCATAATCATGTTCATGTTAATATTAAAGCATAATAAACATAGCAAGATCCTAGGCATGATACTAATAAGATTAATAAAAAACCCTAGCATGTCACTAAGCAATAAAAATCAAATCTTTAACCCTAACATGATACTAACAATCATAAATATTAGGAAGAACATAGGAAGCATCATAGGAATCATATTTAATATTAAAATTAACCTAGACATGATACTAGGAATATCATAATAACAATATAAACATGATTTCTACATCATAATATCAATTAATCAATTAAAGTACTTCACGTTAATAACAAAATCTGCGTCTTGGAACATTTGCAAAAAAGAGTCGACCGACAATCCACTTCGGGAAAATTTTCCACTTACTGAAATGAATGACAATCCACGTTGAGGAACTTTTGTCGATATTTATGATGAATAGAAACCTACAACAATCCTTTGGGAAATTTTGCTATAGGGAACTGGGTGTATGACAATCCAATTTCGGAAAACTTGCCAGCGATGACAATCCGAACTTGGAAAAAATTGCCAAACAAAGAAGGGGCACGACAATCCACGCTTGGAAACTTTGCCAGAGATGACAATCCAATCTTGGAAAAATTGTCGTTGAAGAAGATGCACGACAATCCATTTTTGGAAATATTGTCAGTTGGGGGTGACAATCCATATTTGGAAATCTTTGTCGTTTAATAAGAATGCGCGACAATCTATATTTGGAAATATTGTCGTTTAAGTGCTTGCTTTTGAACCGATGATTTGGCGCTTGTGATGAGCCAATACTTAGGCGCTTAAGCTAAGTGAGACGATCTTTCGTTAGGTCGATAACTTAGACTGTAATCAAACCAACTACTCAATCATGTCAAATTGCATATAGGGGCTAACTGGCGTACCAAGGAACCCGAAATTGCTGTATGAAGTCGAAATCACATTTCTTAGAGGCTTCGAGCTCTGTCGCTGCTGAAATATCTCTGGAGTCAAGAATTGGCTCTGTCGCCAGACGCTGGGATCTAGAGCCAGACGCTGAAATATGTTTCTAGACGCCAGATGTTGTTGCTAGACGACAGCCTTGTCGTCTAGTGCTGGAGTCGAGTCTTCCCTATTCTGCTCTTGCTGCCACTGTTGCTTGGTTTTGCTCCGAACTTTGAGCTTGGTCGTTTCCTTTCAGCCAAATCTGCTCAAATCTTTTGCAAATTAAAGCTCTTCATCTCTAATTTACTGATCCATGTAACTCCTCTTATCTTGGAGGAATCACTACTAAAATTCGGCTAAATTGCGACCGTTTTTCTACTACCGTATGAAAAACGGTCGCAAAATTCATATTTTGCGGCCGTTTTTTATGCGGTCGCAATATTACGACTGCTTTGACAACGGTCGCAAATTTGCGACCGTTTTACGACTGTTTTTAGCCTTTTAGACGGTCGCAAGGCTGTTTAAACAATTAAAAATAATTACAAGTTAAAATAAATTGTTTGCGACCGTCAAAGACGGTCGTAAATGTCATAATCTGCGACCGTCAAAGAGACGGTCGTAAATGTCAAAATCTGCGACCGTCAAAGAGACGGTCGTAAATAATCATAATCTACGACCGGCAAAGACGGTCGTAAATATAATTAAAGATTTTTTTTAAAAAAAAATACATGTATAAAATAATTCTAAATAAAAATAATTATATTACGACCGCAAAAACGGTCGCAAATTACCGAAATTGCGACCGTTTCAAAAACAGTCGTAGGTTGCGAACGTCTTTGGTGGTCGTAATAGGATTTTTATTTTTGTAATAAAAAATCGGCGATTTCGAGTTCATCTCAGAGATATCAATTCTCATTTATCACACAAGCCACATAAGCATATTTTAATATTTTTAAATACCAAGAGGTGGGGTCCTTATTTTAGTGAATTGACGACATTACATGACCATTTAACGGAGGGGTAGTTGCTGGAAAACAAGCAAAACACCAGAAACTTTTCTAATCGAGCTTGCCCTGTTCGCTGTTGCCCTTCTCTCCTTGTTTTCTTCACCAAACTAAACCCACCCAGAAAGTAGCGAAGGGTAAGCTGTCCGGAGCTTGGATCTATGGAGGATTCGTAAACTTTGGTCTCCCACTGCCCTTCAGACGAATTCATTCGTTGATGTTCGGCGTGGATGCAAGGTGTTGTCACTTATAAAGGTAAGCTCAATGTCCTCAGTAGTTGAGGTGTACGTAGTTAATATCGCTGTTGCTAATTTAATTTCGACAATTTGTAGTGTGAATTGGTCGTAACCTTTGATTTGCGACCTGTGTAGTGGTATATTCTTCTAATTGTTATTGTATGAATTATAAATTCTGATTGCTATATGGGTGACTTCATTTCTGAATTGTTTTCTGAATTATTTGTAATGCAGTTTGGGTGAACTGAATTCTGAATTGATTCTGAAATTTTTGGTAATGTGAAAGAATTCTGAAATTTTGGTAATGTGAATTAAATTCTGAATTTTTGGTAATGCGATTTTGATTAGGTTTATTTCTGAATTTTTGGGCCTATGTGTGTTTCCTATGTGTTTGATTACTGTCTTTACTGATATTGCATTCTTCTATAAACTGTTGTAGTTGATGATACATAATATGTGTTTTATATAGTTTGCAGTTAGTTATGTGTTAAATTCTGCTGTTGGTGGTCATTGGTAGTTGTGGGTAATGGATGAGAATTTTGAAATGGATGCAGACAGATTTAGTCCCTTAGGAGGGGTGGGGTGTGATGAGATTGGTACGTTGATGGAGATATGTGTAGATGATAATGAAAATGAAGGCAATATTACTTTGGATGAAGAGAACTTGGATAATATATCCCTCTCACAGACCGTTGAATACAATTCTCCTTTACCATGTATCAATGACAACTCTTGTAGTCAAAACCATCAAGGTTCCCCAGTTGAGAGTGTAGAGACCTTAAATACAACAGTGTTAACAAATGATGTGATTGAAGGCACCTCTATTGAACCTCCAAAGGTCGGAATGGTTTTTAAAGGATGGAAGGATATTGAGTGTTATTACAAACTATATGCTGAGGAGTGTGGCTTTGGGGTTAGCCGGGTTCAAGGATCATATACTACTAGTAAAGAGAGAAGGGGAATCACTTGGAAGTGTGAATGTTATGGTGCACCGGATATGAGGGCGAAGCGAGAAGCTAAGAAAAGGGCGAAGCAAATGGATGTTGGCGGTTGTGGAGGAAATGTGAATGGTGTAATAGGGGAGGTAGAGCTATCACGTGGGAAAAGGAAATCTAAAAAATGTTATTGTAAAGCTAGGGTATATGGAAGTGTGAATCGTGAAGGGCTTTGGGTGTTGCAAAGAGTGGAGTTGGAGCATAATCATGATCTGTGTCCAAGTATGGCAAATTTAGTGAAAGAGTACCGTATGAAGAAGATGACCTCCACTGTTCGCAAGCGGTTGGTGAATTATTATGAGGTGGGTGTACCTGTGAGTGTAATACGTCGATGTTTAGGCACGGAAAATCCTAATTTGCCTAATGTGAAGGATATGCAGCATGAGGTTTACAAACAACGGCGGCTTAAGATGGCCGGTGGAGATGCTGAAGCCATGATGGCTTACTTTGATTCCATGCAAGCCGATAATCAGAATTTTTACCATGCACATAGGTTGGACGATAAAGGTCGTTTAAAGGACGTCATGTGGGTTGATGCTCGGAGCCGTGTAGCTTATGAAGACTTCGGTGACGTCGTTTGCTTTGATGCCACATATCTCACAAATGAGTATGAGCTACCATTTGCTAATTTTGTTGGAGTCAATCACCATGGCCAGTCGATCTTATTAGGTTGTGCCCTAGTTTCTCATGAAGATTGTGATACTTTTCGATGGTTATTTAAACAATGGTTGTTGTGCATGGGCAATAAAGCCCCTCTTGCCATCCTAACTGACCAAGCCCCTGCTATGAGGAAGCCATTAGTTGAAGTCATGCCTAATACACGCCATCGATGGTGCATATGGCATATTCTCCGAAAATTTCCTGACAAACTTGGGAGGTGTGCCATGTAAGTTTTCTAGATTGGTTTTATTAAAATTGTTTTTGTGTTTATAATGAAACTTTTCAGATTTCTTTTTGTTTTGTTCTGAAGAATCTTCACCTGTTTTGTGGTTGTTTTGTTGTGTTGTTTGCAATATCATATTGGTATGTTTGTTGCCATTTAAGTTTTCTGCTATTATTTTTGTTGTGTTGTGTGCAGTATGATGTTGCCATATTTGTCAGTGAAATGGTGTTATAATTGATACCTGCTATGTATCAAGAGAGTCAGTACCTGCTATGGTGTAATTGATAATATTTGTTGCCATTTAGGTGTATATGAGATGGCCATATAGATGGCACAACATGTCTATCTTTATAAGCTTAAACAGAAGGAGTGTAGCTCTATATGAGGCTTTGGGAGAAATGCTCTGGTGTAAAATGAGGATGAGGTTTTTTTGTAGGAGTAGGGTATTATATTGATTCACGGCATATCCATATCCTGATTCTGAAGTCTTCTGAAATTTAACTTTATCTGATATGACATTTTTTATGTGTCTTGAATAATTTTATGGATAACTTGTATGTTGCTGATCTTGAACTAATTAGATATATTCAGTGCTTTAGTATAAGTGAATAATGCCTATTTTTCTACATTTGACTGCTGAGCATTTTTGTAAACTCCTGATCCTTGAAAAAATTGCTATATGTATTTAAGGCTACAAGTGTATGGAGGTCAGTAACACTTTGAAGCAAACAGGTACAATGATTTCAAGAGCCCGTTGAAGAATATTGTTTACGATAGTTTCACTACCGTAGAATTCCAGACCCGATGGTGTGAAGCAATGAAGAAGTATGGTTTGGTAGACAATGAATGGCTTCAAGAATTGTTTGTAGAGCGGCACATGTGGGTGCTAGCTTGGATGAAAGAGTTCTTTTGGGTCGGTATGAAAACTACGCAGAGGGTTGAGAGCATCAACAAGTTTTTTGATGGGTTTGTCACCCGTAAAACAAGGTTGTGCGAGTTCCCCGAAAAGTACTCAGCTGCAATGAAGAAGAGGGTTGGTGATGAGACCGATGCAGATGCAAAATACATAAGACGACTTGTGAGTGGGTTCAGAGCAGAGAGATACTTCCAACAAATTTACACTGATGCGAAGTTCCAAGAAGTGCAAAGAGAATGTGCTAGAATGTTGTACGTAGTTCCTAAATCTGAGACTGTGATAAGTGACGTTGAAATTCAGTATCTGCTTTCAGATCGAGTATGGATTGTTCCGGAAGGATCAAATGAAGAAATAATCACTGATTATCGGAGGTTGTACACTCTGGTATTTAATCCCGTTACCAAAGACATAACATGTGATTGCAGGAAATTTGAAAAGGATGGGATTCTTTGCAAGCATATCATTAGAGTTTTTGATGAAAATTTGGTGAAGGAAATACCATCGAAATATGTACTTGATCGGTGGCGCAAAGATGTGATGCGGAGGCACACACGTGTAAAAGTGGCATATCATGACCCAAGTCAAACCGCGGAATGCATTCGCTACAACAAGCTGTTTCCTGACCTCGAGGCCTTGTGTGATGAAGCTTCCAATGTAGATGAGGATACAATTGTGGCTGTTAGAGAAGCAGTTCTCAAATTGCGCACCGAAGTCAGAGTACGTCGTGCACTTCACTTGGAGAAAAATATTCCGGAAGTGGTACCTAGTAACATGGATCCTTGCTCTCATAAAGGATCATCAAATCAGCCCCCTGAAGCTGGAGGTACTCCAATGTCTAAGCCATGCAATGTATCGGACACCGGAACAAATCCCAACAATGCACAAAACGAAGCTTCAACCAGCTCAAGATTTGTTGTCCGAGATCCAATTACTCAAAAGAGGCCTCGTGGTCGGCCTAAGGGCGCAGCCCGAATTCAAGCACGGCACGGCACGAAGTTCAAATCCCGTGCCACGGACAGGGTTGAGAATTCCCAGGCACGGCCCGGCACGAGCACGACCATGGCCCGCCGTGCTGGCCCGTCGTGCCGGCCCGCAGGCACGGCCCGGAACGGCCCGCGGGCCAACGGTAATGTTACCGTTTATTCTAGCTCCTTAATAAGCCAAAAAAACGGCTAAAAAACGGCTAGTTTTTTGCCAATTTGCTCCCCAAAAATTCTATAAATACTCACCTCCATTTCATTCCCAAATCACAAAATCACAATCTCTTCTTCTTATCTCTTATATTCTCTAAATCTCTAATAATCCTTATTTTCTTAAATTCTCTAATTATTCTCTTAAATTCTCTAATTATTTTCCTAATATCGGAAAAAATTAAAAAATTCGTAATCGTAATTAGTGGAGCGTTGAAGCACAGTTGTAAGATCTAAACTAATCTTAAATTTATTATTGTTTTATTGTTATTATTAGAGTAATCTTGTTTAATTATTATTGTTGTTAATTGTTATTGTTGTTGTTATAATTGTTGTTATTAATTATTATTATTGTTACAATTGTTGTTATTATTTATTTTTGTTGTTATTGTTATTGTTATAGTTGTTGTTATTAATTATTATTATTGATATTTTTATTGTTAAAATTGTTGTTATTAATTATTATTATTATAGTTAACCACTTTTTATTAAAAAATTAATTGTTAATTATGGCATCGAACAACCCATCATCTAGGTCTAGGGGGAAAGGCCGACTTATCCGTAGTAGTAGTTCTAGGGAACCACCAAGTACAACGAGCCCCCAAATTACGAGTCAAACCAATGACCCCATTTACTTCCCCCCGGGCTATGAGCCATATAATACGTCGGGATTTCCAGCACCACCACTAAACCAATTTCCACTACCACCATACCAATTTCCACCTAATTATATCGGTGATCAACAAAACTATTGTTCTAGCCAAGGTAGCCAAGAAAGTACCCGAATTCCCTCCGGTTCTACCCCTTCTACTGCCACTCCCACTAGTCCCACTACTAACCATCACACACATCATGAATGGTTAACCGAAACTGAGATGCTACTTTTGAAAAACCGAAGGAGTGAGGTATGGCGTTATTTTGTCCTAAGTAAAGATGGTGAACAATGGGCAAAATGTAAAACATGTAATAGTGTATTCACAGCAGTTACCAAAAACGGAACGGGACACTTATCTAGACACATGAAAGCTTGTGCAAAACCAGCTAGTGATCCAACCCAACCCAAAATTTCCCAATTCCATCCATACGGCTTTACATACAACTATGAGAGGGATAGGGATGAACTAGGAAAAATGATAGTACACGCCGAACAACCTTTTCTTTTCTCGGAAAGTGACGCATTCAACACCTACATTAACAAAGCACTACAACCCCAACATAAAAGAATCTCTAGGAAAACCGTTCGTTCCGCCGCAATGAAAAATTTCCTAGAGTACAAAGTCCGGTTACAAGCCGAATTGAGTAACCTTAACTGTAGAGTATCTTTAACAGCCGATTCTTGGGATAGTGGTTATAAATATCACTATTTATGTGTGACTTGCCATTGGGTAGATGATCAATGGATGTTACAAAAAAGAATAATACATTTCAAAATGCTGGAATACCCACACACCGGCATTAACATTGCTCACCATTTAATGCAAGCAATAGACGAATACAACCTTCGAGATAAAATGATGTCTATGACTTTTGATAATGCAACCTCTATGACATACACAGCTAATCTTATCAAACAAAACTTAACCGATGTACTATTAGACGGTGAAGCTCTTCATACTAGATGTGTTTGCCATGTACTTAACTTATGTGTACAAGATGGAGTTCGGGCAATTGGCCCATACTACAGCAAAATCAGAGATGCTATTATGTCTATTAATAGCTCTAACATGAGATACCAAGAATGGAAGAGTTTTCTAAAACAACAAAAGATAAGGGTAATAAAAATTAGAACCGATTGCCCAACTAGGTGGAATTCCACCTATGACATGTTAACAAAGGCAATTGAGTACAAGGGCCCGTTAACATTATTTTACAACCAAAAATTTCCACAAAATGCTTTGTATGATAATGATTGGAATAACTGTGAAAGATATATGCAATTTTTACAGTTATTATATAACATGACGTATTGTTTTTCTACTGTTTACAATCCTTGTGCTCAAAACTTTCTTTCTAATGCATGTTTACTCGCCCAACTTTTCGCTGATCATCGCCATCAAAGTGATTATGATCAGTATCTTCCAGCAATGGAAAAAAAGTGGCGTAAATATTATAGTGAGATTCCTTTGATTTATATTTTTGCTTCCATATTAGATCCTAGGCAAAAGTATGAAAACACATTTATGTTAGTTGACATTTACTTTCAATGCATGTTTCTTGACTATGATGTAGAAAACTATAAGACTAATGTGAAGGATCAGTTTTTTGCTTTATATAGAGTCTATGAAGCCAAATATGGCACCGTTCCTCGCTCAGGGCCTTCCCAACCATCCAAAAACGTAAGTAAGAAGGCCAAACATTTATTTTCACAAGCTACTAACTTGATTTCAAGGTTTTCAGGTGATTCATCAATCAGGAGAACGCAAAGCGACGTCTCGGAGTTGCAGATGTACCTGAGTTACGACTTCACCAAAGGCATGGACGACGATGAGATAAACAGCCTCGATCTCCTTGCATGGTGGAAACAACAAAGCTCGAAGCATCCAACTTTGGCGGCAATGGCACGAGACATTCTTGCTATCCAAGTTTCCTCCGTCGCCTCCGAACGAGCTTTCAGCGCATCCGGAAGGGTTTTATACGATAGAAGAACAAGTCTAAAACCCGAAACACTAGAAATGTGCGTGTGTTTCAAAGATTGGTTGGATGCGGAAAATCGCTCACAAGACCGTTCTTACGACCACAACGACAACGAAGAAGGAACCTCCGCTTCCGGTTCGGGTTCGGCTAGTTCCCAATCTATGCAACTAGCCGATGACCTTGAAGGCGAAGGCGAAGACGAAGACGAAGACGAGCAAGAAGAAGGAGAAGAAGAATAGACAATTATTGTATATTGTACGATTTTAAAAATATTAATTTTATCATTTTCCAATTTTTGTTTAATACCATCATTGTATGATTTTTATCATTGTTATCATTGTACAATTTTCTCAACTCAAGTAATAATAATATAAAGTACGCATTATTCACATCCAAAGTCCAATTTGCCTTTTTTCCCCGTTTTGTTACAATTTGTAAATTCATATTAAAAAAAAAATTATACCAATTACTAATAAATCATAAACATTAAATTTTAAAGTAATAGTATAAAGTAAATATATAAATATAAATATTGAATATACAAATTATAAAACATAAATATTCAACTTATACTTATAAAATTCATAACTTAATAACTTATAACTTATAAGTTATAAACTTATAAGTTATAACCTTATAAAACTTATAATTATAATTTTATAACTTATATACATTATAAACTTATTAATTTATAATGTTGTCATATAAAAAAAAAAATAAAAAAAAAAAAAAAAAATTTGAAAACTGCACCAGCCCGCTGCCAGCCCGCAGGCCAACCCGCAGGCCGGCACGTGGCCGGCACGGCACGAGCCCGCCAGGCACGAGGGCCGTGCCGTGCCGTGGGCTGGCCTGTGAAAATGGCCGGCACGGCACGGCACGAAATCCTGAGCCCGCCGGCACGACCGGCACGGCACGAACCAGCCTGTGGCCCGCCAGGCACAGCCCGCGGCGGCACGGCCCGGCACGGTGCCCAGGTCTTACTCTTTTCTTTTTTTTTGGTGAGGGAAAAACAATACTTTTTTTAAATACAATATACGAAGTACAAGTATCTAAGGACCGCAAGATGAATACAAATAATTAACGGAGTGTAATAGGGTCCGTCTCCGAATTGGTAATTCATTTTAAAAAAGGATAATTATTCTGTCTTATATGTATATGTAAATGGTGTTGTGAATATTAATATATATTAATTTTTTATTAAGTATATTAATATACTATATGTATATATCATCATTAGATTAAATGAGTTTTAATAAGTTTGATTAATAAGTTTGATTAATAAGCAAATTTGCTAGATCAACAATGCTATACCTCATCAAACTCTCCTTTATTTAATTCTTAGGTGAACAGATACTAATTACTGAAATCCATTTTTATACAAGACGAGTAATACCTAGAAAAAAGTGTTTTCACACATGCATTTGATATAATAAGTTAAATTAAATGTAATCTTCAAATCTATTTTCATTAAAATTCACATATTGCGTGATATCTTCGTTATTTGATATAGGTGATGATTTAGGAAATCTGATCCTTAAATAACGCTAATCCATTGACACTTTGTGCATGGTTACTTTTGTTTTGGTGGGACAAGACAAACTTATATGAATATGAGTACTAGTAGACCCTATACTCTACAATGCCTTACCATATATGTTCTTGTCATTTTCCTCAAATCATACTACTTTCTTCTATTTTCCATAACCCATAATCCTATAATCTTGTAGATGTACGAAGTAGAAGATTTGATCATAATCTTGTTATACCCCAGGTGAGCATTTAAGTAACATCTCCATAACCCATGATCCTCAATATTTATGGATAAAATGGTATTGATCTTAACTAAATTACTACATAATTATAAGTATTACAACTATTTTTGAATGTAAATGTTGTTACGTAAATATTATAGAAAAATACCACCCTTAAATAAATTTTACTCGTGCGACTTATACAACCTACATTAGAACCCTAAAATATTTCTATACTTCGTACATCTACCCTACATTACAACCCTTAATTACAACCCTTAAGATTAGCCACATATATAATCCGTAATTATCTTGTAGCGTAATTAAAGTAATGTATACAACCAAAGTCAATTTCAACCCAAGAAAACGAAAATCGACATATCTAAGTAGTCCGATCCCACAATGAATCGTAGTTAATTACCATGTCAATTAATCGATGGGTCGTGGTTTAACACTTTCATTCAGCCCAACTGATTTCAAATTTCCCTTTTATTGTATTAAAGAAATCCTTATAACCCTTATAACCCTCGTAACCCTAATAACCCTAATACCTTATAACTCTAAACCCTTATAACCCTAATAACCGTCAAACCCTTATAACCGCAATAACCCTTATAACCCTAAACCCTTATAACCCTAATAACCGTAAACCCTTATAACCCTAATACCGCATAACCCTTATAATCAGAAACCCTTATAACCCTAATAACCCTAAACCCTTATAACCCTAATAATCGTAAATCCTTATAACCCTAATAACCGTAAACCCTTATTACCCTAATACCTTATAACCCTTATAATCAGAAACCCTAAACCCTAAACCCTAATAACCCTAAACCCTAAACCCTTATAACCCTAATACCTTATAACCCTCATATCCCTAATAACCCTAAACCCTTATAACCCTAATAACCGTAAACCCTTATAACCCTAATACCTTATAACCTTAATAACCCTAAACCCTTATAACCCTAAACCCTTATAACTCTAATAACCCTACACCCTTATAACCCTAAACCCTTATAACCCTAATAACCCTAAACCCTTATAACCCTAATACCTTATAACCCTAATAACCTTAAACCCTAAACCCTCTAAACCCTAAACCCTTATAACCCTAATACCTTATAACCCTCATATCCCTAATAACCTTAAACCCTTATAACCCTAATAACCGTAAACCCTTATAACCCTAATACCTTATAACCCTAAACCCTTATAACCCTAATAACCCTAAACCCTCATACCCCTAATAACCCTAAACCCTTATAACCCTAATAACCGTAAACCATTTTAACCCTTAACTCTTAACACCCTTATTACCGTAACCCTTATAACCCTAATAACCCTTTTAACCCTAAATCTTTCACACCTTAGGGCCTGTTCTCATTGACTGAATTGAGATGAACTGAACTTAACTGTACTTAATGTTTTATAAGAGAAGGAAATTAGGAGCTGAACAGAAAAGAACTGAACTGAACTGAGCTAAACTGAACTGAACTGAACCGAATTTCAACGTATGAGAACAGGCCCTTATTACCCTAAACCCTAACAACCGTACTCGGAACTCTTAATCCTAAACCCTTAACCGTACTACCCTTATACGTATGTGTCTTGAATCATATTTGTGTTTATTTTAAATATTGTGATTTGTAGCAAAAGATTAAGATTAAATAGTACATAATAATTACCCTCAACCCTTAACCCTAAACCCTAAACCCTAGAACTTATCTCTTAAAATACTCATCAGTAAGAAAGTCAAACCTAATTTTTTTTTTAAAATTTAATAACTGAATTTTTTTTTTTAGAAAATAAGAAGTTTGATAATTTGTAGCAACAATTAAACGATTTGCTTTAAATTAAAAATAAATTTCCTCAATAAAATAAAATAATAAAAAACCAACATCAACTATTATTAAAGATACTTATCAATATCAACTAACGTAATCCTACTACTATTAAATTATACTATTTCACTTTGTGGTTGGACGTTCATCCTAGGGAAATTTTGAGAAACATCCTAAAGGAAAGTTGTAAGTTGTGTCAGCGGAAAAGTATATACAAAGTACTACCATATATATTAAAGAGTAGAACTTTTTATGTTCTCAAATAATTCAACCATATCGTCCCTAATCTACCTTTTCAGAACTTACTACAAGCTACATTGATTATCAACTTACTAATGTTGTTATTTGATTTTGTATTGATGTGACAAGACCTACTATTTGTCCAAGGAAACACTCCTTCCCAACTGAATGATTCACAATCCTAGAACTTATGTTTTACATATCCTACACAATTAACCCCCTTTTTTTAATAAAAAAATTTAACCCTTCACCTTTTCCTGTACGTTATTGTCATTTATCTTAAAAAAAAAAAACAAATTTGGGAGAAGGTAAATTTGCACAAATATTGTTCCAAATTGGAGGGAATTTTGGTAAAAATATTAATATTAATGGTTGTTTGTAAAAGCAAATGGGGTGAACATTGTGGGACTAAAATTTATCCATTAGGTACTGTCAAAAGGGGACGGAGGGAGTAGTTGATACATTACAAATATTATTTAATGTTATAACATCGTACACAAATTTGAAAGCGTCGTAAAATTAAAATTTCAAACATTTTAACACAACGATATAATTTAAATACAGATAACGAAGAAAACTAACAAGGTTTCTAAAAAGGGAAAGGGAGCAAATATTTAAATAGGGTCGGAAAAGGAAAGTAGAACAAGTATATATTTAAAAAGGGAGGAAGTATAATTTAATACAATGAAGAAGCTTCATTTGTCTTAATACAAGTTCATATTTCTTATGTTTGTGCTTGCTTAATCACACTGAATTCATGCTATTTGTTCCCAAGACAAGAAAAGATCCAAAAAAAATAAAATAAAAAATAAAATAAATTTAGGAGTGGTACAATCAAGATGAGGTATGAGTATTTGTTAAGGATACACGTGCATATTGGAAACATTTGGGACATGAAGGATCAAACATATGTCAATGCCCTTGATGTAATTGCGCTTGTTGTCACTAAGGCTTATGGAACTTTTGACACTAAGTTCATGGGACCAAATTACCATTATACCCTCAACCCTAAACCCTAAACCCTAAACCCTAATCCCTAAACACTTAACCCTTAATTGTAAACCCTTAACCCTTAAGCCTTAACCCTCAACCCTCAACCCTAAACCCTCAGCCCTTAACCCTTAACCCTTAATTGTAAACCCTAAACCCTAAACCCTAAACCCTTATCCCTCAACCGTTGACCTTAAACCCTAGACCCTAAACCTTAAACTCATTACGTATGTATAACTAATTCAACACGTTAACTTTACTTATTATACGGTTGTATCTATGTACTCTTTATTGACTTATCAAATCTCTCCATATACTCAATAATGTTCACCGTCGGCATTATTATACCGTTTATGTTAAATACAATGAGTGACGTTGCTTGATTATTCCTCGATATGGAATTCCTTTGAACACACATATGTGTTTATGAAATATTGTGATCATATAATCAGCCATTTGATAATTGTTCATAATTTGCATGCTACTCTGATGGTTTTCAGATTTTTTATTTGCATGAGAAGATTAGTGAGCTTGATGTAATAGCATGTGTTGGAAGGTTTCGTGTCGATCCTTTCATAAGGTACACTGACGTTAGCCTTGAGTCAAAGTATGAAGTAGGTGAAAATGCCTTTCGTCTAGGTTCTTCCATTGCTATGTGGAATGCCCGTGGCGTTACTCGTCCCTCATTTAAGTCCAATGTCCAGAAAATTATCGCTGTTCACAAGCCTATCATATTCATAATTGTTGAGGCAAGAGTCTATCGTAAGTCATTTGAAGAAATTTTTAGTTCAATTGGACTTTGGATGAGAGTGTTGGGTTGATGGGTGGGCTTGCTGTGATATGGGACGAGAAAGAAGTCAAACCAGATGAGTTGCTGGTCACGATGACACAAGACTTCCCAATGAGGCTCTTAGGCACAATGAAGGTAATTGGCTAGTGAAATTCAAATTACAATTATTACCCGTTATCAATTGTATGGATTTCTGTATTTCACACAGCCGGCACCTAAAGAAGATGAGGACGGAGCAGCTGATGAACCCCGTGCAAAGGACGAGGAGGGAGCTACTGGTGTGGATGGCGAAGGTGATGCGGCGATTGCATCTGACGGGGAGGGAGCAGCTGATGAGGATGGAGCCTGAGTATGTGTGGGGTTGCCTTGGTGTTTGTGTTGGTTGGATTGTATCACCTTTGTTTCTTATGTAATTTGTATGCACTTTGGTCTGTATTAACAAGGAACTCGTTCAATTTGTAATTTCTATTATTACGTATTAATTAAGGTATTATCATGGGTAGTCCATGGTAACCATGTTTATGTAATGTTTAAGTGAAGCTTGTATGAGCTTCTTTTTAATTTATGTAAGGTTATTAAGATTGTGTGGTTTAATTATCTACTTCATTATTTCATCATATGGTGAATGATCAACTTTATTATTGCATCAAATGGGTTTTGTCGAATGTGCATTGGAAATCGTTTTCAATCTGAATGGAAACAAATAATTCAACTTGATGATTCGGATCACATCTACTTTAATTCAAAAGGTAGAGCTCAGTTTTCCTAGTTAAAATTAACTATAAGTAGATGAAACTAAACTTAGTCAAAATATATTGGTATTGAAGTGAAGAGTCATGTGTGCACTTCTATGTTTCAAATAAAGGTCCTAAGGTGTTTGCTTCTGTCAAAAAATAAATAAAGGACTTGATTAGCCGGATCCACAGTAGTCAAGATTATGTGAATGGGCCAAATGAAGTGGTTTCATAGTTTATATCTTAATTCAAAAAGTAGAAGTAGTTTTCCATAACTAACATTAACTATAGGTAAAGTAGATGAAAGTAAACTTAGTCAAAAGTTATTAGTGATTGAATTGTTTTAAGTGAAGAATCATGCATGCACTAATAAATGTCGATTACAGTTCTTAAGGTGTTAGCATCAAATCTTAAAAATAAAAAAAGGATGCTTGCTTAACATAACTTGCTTAGCATAACGCTTAGCAGAAAGCACAGTAGTCAAGCTCAATGTAGAATGGCCCAAATAAAGTGGTATTATTCTACACATTCTTAGTAAATCTAAATTTACAAATAGGCGACTTCTTTGTTCTATATCGGTAAAACAAAGTAAAATACAACAAGATTCCTTGTATAACAGTAAAAAGGAAGAAGTTTGAACCAATAAAATTGTACAGAAGGTCAGCCACCTGCCTTCTAACACACAACTGCATGAAAAAATAATTCAACAACTAATCAGTTATATGCTTGTTGTGTATTTATTCTAAGCAAACCCATATCACTTGTGCTTATTACTTACAACGCTGTTAAAGTAATGCAATACTGGTGAACCATTACCAAGTCTCAGCAACCAAACATCTACAGGATTTCCAACTTTGGAAAGTAGCCAGAAGTTGCTTACTTTTGAAATTGTATGTGCATCTCCGCAGTAAATCTAATGCTCAAATAAATAAGTATGATGTTATTGAGATGAAAATAAATAATTGTAGACACCCATTTGTGTCTCCCCAAAACCAAACCCAGTGATGAGTATCTTTCACGTCGAATCATAATCGAATGAAACGAAAGTGTGGAAAGGTCTAGTGTTGCGGAAAGTTTTATTTCTTTTCTTTTCTCTTCTCTCTATTTTTGAAAACTTTATTTTAAGAAAACAGCCAATCCAGTTTGGTTGGTCCATAATATGGGTCCAATAGTGGTGTAGTTGGATGAGGCTTGCAAAGACCTTTCCAACGATATATTATAAGCCCAATTCCGATGAATATTGAGGAAGTTATGGCCAATTTACTAAACTGGGCCCGGTTTGAGTTTTAATTACGGCCCAATGATCTAGGGGAGGGCCTAATATGATTTATCATTCCTAATGTAATTAGGAATGGTTTTGGTCTTCTAGAACATTCTAGAAGGTTTTTATCATTCTTAATTCAATTAGGATTCTTTAGAGTTTTAATTAGATCGAATAGCATTTTCGACTGAAATTATATTATTTTATCTTCCAGTACGGTAAAATTATCAGATTTTCGAAAACGTGTTAAAAGCCGGTTTGGCGTCCAACCCCAGGCCTTGGCGCCTGGAACCAGGATTGGCGCCAGACGCCAGCCATTGGCGCCTGGCGCTAGCCACTGGTCCTGGCGCCAATGAGCCAGGGCTGGCGCCAAGTTGTTTCTGTGATCTTCAGACTCTGTTTTGATAAATTATCTTTTTTGGCTGATTTTCTCTATAAATATTGTATCAAAAACTCCGTTTTAGGGGACGGATTATCATTTATCATTCACCACTTCTTTTATTCTTAAGTTTTAATAAACTTCGTTTTCATCCATCTACAATCAATAATTACCAACATTCACCAATTTTCCTTAGTCTTCATCATTCATCTAATTCATCCAATTCTCTTTATTCATCATCTTTCTTTCATCAATTCTCAATAACGTTAATCTTTCAGCGTTCTTTCTTTCTTGCTTTTTCATACAAAATTCCGCATTCACAAGATCTTGATACACCTAGCCATATTCGAAGTTGCCTTCGCCCTAGACGTGAAAGGTTTTTTTTAATTTCTGAGGGTTTGGTCCCAAATCTCTCTATTTCAATTATTTAATTGCTTTGTTTATTATTTTCCTTGAAGTTACTAACGTGTGTATTTTGTAATTAGAAAGAGGTACGAGGCATCCAAGTAAGTACTTTATTGATTTTAATTGATTTTATGATGTAGACATCATGTTTATATTGTTATTATGATATTCCTAGTATCATGTCTAGGGTGTTTTTAATATTAAGTATGATGCTTCCTATGTTCTTTCTAATATTTATGATTATGATTTATGATGATTATTTATTATGTTGCTTGATATGCATATTATTGTATATTGTTTATTGCTTGATCACCTTTTATTGCAGGTTAAAGGGAATTGGTACTTGCAATCACGCTTAATAAGATAATTAATAATCTTGTTAGGTTAATTGTGATTATAAATTCAAGTGATCGCCAATAGTAATTTATTTGTGCATTAAATTCAACCAACATAGATTAAATAGGTTTAGGGTTAATCCTATTGATTGTATGTTAGTCAGAAAGCGCACATGAATACGAGCAGAATAAAGTAGAGGCCTATTATTAGGGCAGGTTCAATCTCTTTTAGGTTGGATTTGTACCTTCATCCCCGAACCCTTATTTGGTTCATGACCTTATGGAGTTGACGATCTCTTGGATCGTTAAGGGGTGTAACCTTCACCTCGTGAACGGTTTACAAGTTCCTTAAAAACTTGTTGGCGACTCTTTTGCTCTATCTTCTTCCCTTTTGGACGCCACCGTACTTTAGTGTATGATCACAGTGGGGTTCAAGCTAGTGGGATTTTAAAGGCTTGAAAATATTCCCCACAGTTTTTGGCGACTCCACTGGGGAGGATTTCTATTTTAATTCCTGAATTTGTTTCGGCAATGATTTAGAATGAGTGGATGAGACTCGAAAAGTTCTAAGTATTTCACGTGCGTAATTTTGATTAACATTATTGTCATATGCATAAAAAGGTTCTCATTGGAAAGACCATCAGTAATGAGTCAAAAACATAGGATTTTACATGTAGGAAATTTGAGAAACGTCTTTCACAACTAGGACTGAAATAACACCGCAAGAGACTGGATGATTTTATTGAGCACAGAAAGCTGCTGAGGCATGTGGGAAGTAGCGTCAGGGGCCAGAGCTTGGCGCCATACTTTTAGCCGTAGTGCCAGACGCCAGTATTGGCGCCATGCGCTACAGTTAAAAGTTGGCGCCAGTCTCTGTTTGCTGGCGCCAATTTCCCCCAATACCGAGCCAGAAATATGCGTTCTAATTTCAACCGGTTTTTCGTATTGTTTGCTCGATCCTACTTCTTGATTGAATTTTTTCTTATTTTTCTGAAACCCATATGTGTTCTACATATGGACATAACCCTCTGGGAATTCATGCTCTATCTACCCGATTGAACGCTCCTGGCAACAAAGGGTACATCTGAGAGGTTGAATTCACCAAACCATGGAAGCGAGTTTTTTCTAAAAACTTGCGGTGTTCTATCCACACGCGTTAACCCTTCACGGTTAGGCTTCTACGCGGTGCATCTGAACAATTAACCATGGACCCTATTTGACTAAACCACATCCTGAACTTTAGAGAACTAGAGCCATGGTTAGGTTGCGAACTCATTGCATCATATCGTGCCTACTTGACTAATTGTGCATTATTTGTTGCGCATATATATTCTATGCTTCTCCTAACCGTTTGTTGATTTGTGTTGAGATTATAATCAATGACTTAAAGAACTTTGCCTAATTAATTAATTAATTAATTTGAGTTAATAAAATTTTTTCTTCTTTTAATCGAAATCGACCTAGTACGACTTTAGGCATACCCAAGTTGACTAATAATATCGAAAACAGTCCCAGACCGAGGCTCCAATGTCGATGCCAAAATATGGGCTGTAGCGCCACTGTATGGTGTGTAGCGCCAGACATTTACTAAAAAGTCTGGCGCCAACCACCATATTGTGACGCCAGTCCTGTCGCTTGGCCGACAGTTCGGATTATTTGTCGAGTCATCAACTAATGTCTAATTATTCAGTTTCCTATTTAATTCGGTTAATTCTGCTTAATTGAATCAATATTCGAGTTTAGGCATTAAGTCCCATGGTCTTACACAAGAGTCCAAGCATGTCACTTACACTCAATACACACACCATTACACATGTCTTGACCATGATTAAGGGAGTCTTGTGTGCGCGCGTTATTTTGTCGTCATTTTTTTTAGGGGGGTAAGTCGGATATTAATCCTCCAACCAATAAATAATA